AGTTCTTTCCCTCATCTGTTTCAATGCAGTATGCATTATTTATTCCCTCTTAGTTCCACCCCCCCAACTCCGATGTCATTCTGCTTTACAACAGTGGCATTATGAAGTATTTGTCCTTTTGTGACTGAGATATTTCAATCAACATACTGTCCTCCAGGGTCACTCATTTCGTATACTATTTTATGAGTTCTTTGTTTTTCAATGCTGCATATATACCAGAGCTGCTATAGCTATTTGTTTGTTGATGGGCACTTGCGTTGTTTCCAACTCTTTGCTATTGTGAACAAAGCTGCAACAAACATGGGTGTGCATATATCTGCTTGGGTGGCAGTTCTGGTTTCCTTAGGGTATATTCCCAGTAGTGGAATTACTGGATCAAATATTATTTCTATTTGCAACTTTCTAAGAAAGCGCCATACTGCCTTCCATAGTGGTGTCACCATTTGACACCCCCACCAACAGTGAATAAGGGTTCCAGTTTCTCCACAACCTAGTCAGCATTTGTTGTTTGCTACCCTGTTGAATTTTGCAATTGTTACTGAGGTGAGATGATACCTCATAGTTGTTTTGATTTGCATCTCTCATTTCTTCATGTGTTTGTTTACCATCTGAATATCTTTGGTGAAGTGTCTATTCATATCCTGTGCCCATTTTTCAATTGGATTGTTTCCCTTTATCTTGTTGTGGTGCTTGAGTATTTTATAAATTAATGCCTTTTCTAAAAGGTACTACTCTTTATGCACCTATCATGTCCTAGCCCTCTCCTTACCTTCTTATTCTTAATGTTGTTTTTATTATGTACCACGGAGTGAGAAGTGACTCGTTGCTGACCCTCCAGTAGGTTTTCAGGGGCAGTAAATTGGACAGGAAGAGTGTGCTGTCTTCTCCCACAGAGCAGCTGGTGGATTAGAAGCACATGCCTTTGGGTTGGTAGTGCAACTCCTTATTACTAAGCCACTGTTGTTGTGTACCTTCCAGTCAGAACCGACCCATAGCTGACTCTCCAGTGGGTTCTCAGGCGCAGTAATTACACAGGAGGAGATTGCCTGTTTCCCATGGAGCAACTGGTGGATTTGACCTGTGTGCCTTCAGGATTACAACACAGCTTCTTACCACTAAGCCACCAGCCACTAGAGCTCCCTTATTCATAGTAGAGCCTATCAACACTTGGCACACACTTGCTTGCATGCATATATATATAGAAATAATCTCCATGAAACCAGGGTTTTTAAGTTCTACCCTACTGACTGCTGAGTACCGAGAACCAGACCCAGCACACACTGGGGATTCAATCAATGTTTGCTGTTAGGTGCCTTTTAAAGTTCAAATCTCCATGCTTATTAGCACAACAATTGTCTTCTTGGAAGTACTTTTTTCTTTTTTCAGTGGAGGGCTCATCAATCTAGGAGCTGACAAAGGAGTCACTGGGGAGAGGAACATTTGTTTATTTGAGCAGTATAGGTCTGGGCAAAAAGGACTTAATACATCACACAATAAAACCACTGTCTAAATGCGGTTGTTAGGAGATACCTGATGAAGGGAGAACTGTAGATTTCACTCCCTGTAGAGGTAGAAAAGGAAGACATGTGGGAAGTGGTGAGGGAATGTGTTTTCTTTCCCCCTATAACTGCCATGGCTCCTTGGTAGATCTGAGGTTTCCTTTCCACATAATTTATAATGTGAGGTCAGTTTTATGTTGTTCAGTGACAAGGCATTGGAACTCTTCCTGGTGTCAGATGAGGGAAATGTAAGGTGTGTGGCCATGTGCCCTGTTCAGGTGGATGCAGGGGATGAAGAGGGTAAGGGGTCAAGAAAGAGAAAAGGGCTTGGCAAAACCAGGTGACTGGCATGAGGTCCTCAAGAAAAGCCAGCAGACTTTTTTGAAAATCCCAGAATAGTCAAGTGGAAGAGAGGCAGTGTACAGCTGGGAGGCCAGTTATGCTGGTCACTTGTTTAAAATGAAGCCACTGTCCAGAATTTATGGCCCTCTGGGGACATGTGGACGAGAGGGGAGACTGTTGGGCAGGAATTACATCCTGGGTGAAGTAATTGAAACTGCTTTAGGGAAATACTTCACTACCTTCCCTGTTTCTTTAATGTCTCCTTTTTCTTTATTATCTCTTCCTCTAAAATTTGAGGCCTCGGGAAAAACCTCATTACCTCTGGGAGGGTGTAACCCCAAATTTTATCAACTATTCATCTCCAAGTATAAAGTTAGCTTATCAAATTCTTCCAGAGTAGTAATAGCCCAGAGCGTTTCGGGACAGATCATTCCATGGCAGATTGTAGTTTCAAAGATGGGCACAATAATCACTTTTCTCCTACATGGTCTTCTTTTAAGTGACCTCGACAATCCTCCTACTGAGTTTTGCTCCTTCTTGAACCTGGGTGGATCTTCTTTATTTTTGGTTGGAGATGAATATGGCAGATTCTAAGATGCCTCAGCAAATTTCCTCTCAATAATTTTCCTTCTGATTTGCATCTCCTGGTTTGCCACACTCCTAGTCTCAAGCAGAAAGTTGTGCTGGAACTTCTTGCTGGCTGTGGAAAATGGGTCTCTCTTTCAAAGTTTATTCTTCTAGTGCAACCTCTAAGAGTGCTCTTTAGAGACAAGGATGGTAAAACTTGGTCTTACATATTTTGGGCATGTTGCAAGAAAAGGTCAGCCCTCGGAAAAAATACACAATGCTGGGAAAAGCAGAGGGTCAGAGAAAGAGAAAAGACCCTCAAAAAGATAGATCAATATAGTGATTGTAACAATGGGCTCAAGTCGAGCAGAGGTGGTGAGGATGATTCTCAATAGGGCAAGGTTCAGACCTGTTGTTAATAGGGCTACTATGAGAGGAGACTGGTCCTTGGAGAAGGACATCATGCTCAGAAGGGTGGACAGCTCAGGAGAGGAGGACCCAAGATGAGATGGATTGATACAGTATCTGGGGCAATGGGGTTGGTGTGTTGGAATTAATGAGTCTGGCTCAGGACAGGGAAGGGTTCAGAGCTGCTGTACATAGGGTCACTATACGTTGCAGGTGACTCAATGGCACATAACAACATACTATATTGGTTGTTTTAGATGTAAGCCTTTGTTTAGAGTCAACAAGATCTCATGGAGGGCCTTGTATTTAAAAGTTGGTTGTTATTATATTTTTGAGGAACATTCTTCTAAGTGTTACAGCACTCTTCTGTCAATATGCTGCACTGAGGTAACGTGGGGTTGCGGTGATGCTGAACCTTGTGCCATTGGGGTGTCAAATGGCATAACTGTTACCTATGGTGGACAGTGTTTGGGGGAGCTTCCACTTTAAGACAGGTTTGGAAGCAGGTGTGGCATCCACTTCCTAAACCACATTCCTCTGGAAACTCTATGAACTTTGAGAAATGATGATAGTTATAGAAAGGCTTCATGTCTTTTGTTCATAGGGTTGCTATGAGTTATGCTCGACTTAATGACAATCAACAACAACAACAGCAACAAACATGAGCTGTGTTATGCAGATGGCACAACCTTCCTTGCCAAAACTGAGAAGGACTTGAAGTGCTTGCTGCAAGAGGTCAAAGACTTCAGTATTCAATGTGGATTTAAGTTCAAAACCAAGAAAACAAAGATTCTCACCACTGAGCCAATTGGCAGCACCATGAAAGATGGAGAAGTGATTGAGATAGTTAATAATTTCAATTCAAAAGATGAATTGCAGTGGGAAAATCTGCTGTCAGCGTTCTCTCCAGAGTGCTGAGGAGCAATGAAGTCAGTCTAGAGATAAAGTCTGCCTGATCCAGGCCGTAGACTTTGCAATTACTTGCTATGCATTGGAGAGCTGGACAATGAGTAAGGGTTATAGAAGAAGAATTGATGCCTTTGAGTTGTGGTGCTGGAGAAGAATATTGAACATACCATAGACTGCCAAGAGAACAAACAGGTCTATCCTGGAGGGGGTGAAATCAAGTTTCTTCTTGGAGGCAAGGATTTTGAAGCTCCTTCTCACATACTCTGGGAATGTTGCCGGGTGAGACCAATCCTTGGGGAAGGACATCATGCTCAGGGTTGGAGGGACAGTTCAGGAAAGGAAGATTATGAGATAGATTGACACAGTGACTGTGGTAGTGAGGACAGAGGTGTTGGGGACTGTGAGATTGGCTCAGGATAAAACAGGGTTCAGAGTTATTGGGCATAGGGTCACTGTGAGTTGCAGTCAACTAAACAGCACATAACAACAACAACAACAACATGAGGTGAAGTTACCTAACAACAACATCTAACACAACAACATTGCTAGAAATTGAGGAGACCCTTAACCCCCACCCTAAATGTGCAGGATGCACGAGAGTCAATGGAGACAGTAATATCAGTAAGACATCACCTGCGAAGTGCTATCTGTTCTTAACCATGAGATGTCAGGCAACTTAAATTGTCCATAACTGCAAATTACCTTTGAAAGTCTGTAGAGTCAGATGACCTGAAAGTTCTTCAGGCCAGAAACAGAAATCCCTATCTCCCACTTCTCTCATTTTACCTTTTCTTATAATGCCTTGGTCATCAGGATGCATCATAATCTTAAACTGTAAGGACTAGGACTAGGGATGAAATGAAGAGTTTCTCTATTAGTTTGAATATTTACTGTCTTTTTACAACCCAGGATCCAAACTGGGGTCAATCTTTTGGTCCCAGTTGGTTAATATTTTATAAACAGTGGCAAGGGAGCAAACACCTTGGACAATCAATGTTCCTGTGAATCTTATATTATTTACAGTGTCTTTGAGGGACATTCTCCTCTCTTTGTAGAGTCCAGATATGTAAAGTGTAGTGAGGGAAAGGAAGGAGATGGATGGTTGTACCAGCGCTTCCTGTCCTCTCTGGCTGCTCCTGGGAGGTGAGGAGAATCTCATAGGAGACATGAGGGCCATTGACATTTCCAAGCATAAGTTTTGTACCAGAGCAACATATACTTGTGTAGTGGGCACCGGGCGATTAAAGCATCATCTCCTGTCCTTCATAGCAGACTCTACACGTCAGGACTCTCTGTCTCTGGAGCCACACTGTCAGCACAGGTGTCCTTCTTTTTCCCTGGAGAGGAGAGAGAAAGTTTGGAATTTTCAGTGTTTGGATTTTTGGCATCTTTGGCTTGGTCTAATGTCTCTACTTCTCAAAGTTCCTTCTTCAGATCACCTCAGGCAGTGTGTCAGCTCTCCAGATCTCCCAAGACTCTGGAATAGAAACCTATCAAGGAAAGATATTTCTTCCTAATGGCTAACTTTGATCTGCAGCTTTGCCATAAATTTAGCTGGAGGAGGCATAGAAACTTAGACAGGTGGACCCAGTTCCATGACAGGGCAGAGAGCATGTGGCAGAACTAGGTCTTGTGTGGAGCTTCTCCACTGTCCTAGGTTGTCAAGTTCATTCTGTTCCTTCTCATGCAACCCAGGTGTTCCTTTCTGAACTTTGAAAGGATGATTAGCAAGTTAGAGAGGCTAGTCACAAAGATCACATATTATAAGGTGCATTGATATGAAATATCCAGAATAGGCAAAAGTGTAGAGATTAAAAGTAGATTGCCTATGGCCTTTGAGGTGATGGCTGTGAAATGTGAACTTTCTTGTTGGGGATAATGAAAATGTTGAAAAGTTGATTGTGGTGATGAACGCACAGTGAATATGCTAAAAGTCACTGCATTTTACACTTGAACAGGTGAAGTATATGGTATGTGAATTCTATCTCAATAAAGCTATTAAAGAATAAGAGCGGCATTTAATCTTAATTCTGCATTTTCACCACAAATTCTGGGGACCATCAGAGGTAAAGGAGCTGGATTCAAACGTCTGCACAGCAGACAGGGCCCCTTGTCAGCGTCGAGCCTATTTCACCCTTGCTCCTTGGAAGAATCGGTCGTTCCCCTGGCCTAGTGGCTGGGCCAAGGCTCTCAGCTTCTGGGGTACTCTATCTTCTCTCTGTTGCTGATCTACTCTTTCTACCTGGAGACTGGCAAGTCTGGAATAAAAATGGACTTGTGGTCCAGACATTATGGAATTCTTCTTTCAGGGAAAAGGGATCCTGTGGCAGAGGCAAGGGATGTGCTGAATTTAGGCTTCTGAACTGGCCTCATCACCAAGTTCTTCTTTCTTTTCCTCAAAACCCACTCACTTACTCTCATTGCGATCAAGTCAGAACTAACTCACCGCTGACCCTCTGTGGGGTTTTTGATAGCGCATCTTTATCCTGAGGAACCACTGGTGGATTCCAACTGCTAGCGAGACCTGCGCTTTGGGTTAACGGTGTAACGTCCTAACTAGAAGGGTCCTCAGAGTTCCCTCTCCTCAAATGGGCTGCCCAAGTAGTCTCTAGCCAGGAGCTGCTTCGCACTGGGAGGCATTTCTAAGTGATGGTACTAGACAAGCAGAGGCTGAAATGTACTATCCTTCCATGCACTTGTCTTCTGAATACAGATTATGTTCCAGAAACAACAGTTGCATACTCAGTGGTGACCCAGACTCTGCCTTTTTAAAAGGGCTTAGAGTTCAGGTATAAGGTAAGTGTCTGAGTGCTGTAATTGGAGTGTTGCTGTTGTTATGTGCCATCAGGTCAGAACCGAATCACCCTTCAGTAGGTTTTCAGAGGCTGTAAATCACACACGAGGAAATTGTCCATCTCTCTCTGTAGGAGCAGCTGGTAGATTTGAACCATTTATCTATCAGGCTATGGACACCATTGACCTAGACTGAGGATAGGGAAGAATGTCAGAGGAGGCTTCCTGGAGCACATAGACCTTGAAGACAGAAAGGAGAGAATCAGTAAAGATGTGAAGTTGCGTGGGAAATCCTGTTCTAGCAGAAGGAATAGCATGTACCATGGCCTGGAGATAAATGTGAGAGAGTTGTTCATTTGCAGAACCACAAAAGGAACTTCATACTTGCTGGAAGCCAAAATGTAAGATTGAAAGGATGAAGAGATGGAGTGGCAAAGGTAAGATCTACTCCTGCTCTCCTCCCTCATAGATCCAGTCTCTCTACTCTCCCTCTCCATATGCGCGGCTCCTACCTGAGCAGGGACCACAGTGCCAGGCAGAGAGGAGACCAGCCAGGACCAGGAGCAGTGATACCGGTACCACCACTAGCAGCAGCACATCTTTGTAGGAGGTTTTCCCTGGAACTGGACATGGGGTGACAGTGTCAGAGGTAGAATGGGTGATTCTTGGTCTCTCAACCACTCCATAGATAACCCCTGGCCCTTGGCATACCTCCCTCATGGTGACAGCTCTCCCAGGGAGTGACTGTGGCTAAGTCCCAGCTGACAGGGTTGGAGACAATGCAGGAATAGGTTACATTCTTGTCACCTGGACCCAGGGAAATCCTTAACACCTGGCTATTTGCAAAGAGGCCTTGTTGTTCGAGACCAAAACCAATGGTCCTTTCCCGTCGCCAGCTATAGGTGACATCACTGATGTTGGGGGCCCAGCAGGACAGGAAGACCTGGCAGGTCTTGGGAGCTAAGGCTTCCTCCGCTGCAGCAATGTACACTTGTACCGTGGGCCTGGGCACTGCATCTGGGCGAAAACAGAAGAGCAGGCACGGGTTACAGGGGTGCCGAGCTGAGCTCCTGGGTTAGCTCTGGGCCCCACATCGGGCTAGATGCCAACCCTAAGTAGGCCCTCCTTGCTTACAAAACTTGCCTGACTTCCCTTTTCCCACAAGACAGATGTCAAACTTGTTAACCTGCTACTCAAAACTGTTCATGATACAGTTCGTGCCAACATCTTCAGTCATACAAGCATTATTTGTCATGTATTGAACAATGTCTTTCCCTCCCTTCAGCGATAGATATGTAATGATACAATGTAGAGGCTCTGTAATGATCCCCATGGTCTGATAAATCTAGTAGTAAAAAGATCAAGGATGGAATGCAACGCCCCTTACTCTCATCCCAGCTCTGAATTGTGTAGGGTGTGCTCGGTTACCCTTTTTATCTCACTACAGATCAAAGTGAAGCCAGGCTGCTCCTTGATTCTGAAGCTTCATCTGACATACTTTGGGTGTGTTACAAGGAGGGACCAGTCCTTGGAGAGGGACATCATGCTTGGGAGGGTGGAGGTACAACGCAGAAGAGGAAGACCCTCAATGAGATGGATTGATTCAGTGACTGGAGTAATCAGGATGAGTGTGTTAGAGACAGTGAAATTGGCACAGGATAGGGGAGGGTTTAGGGCTGTCGTACATAGGGTTGCTATAAGTCGCAGGAAACTAGATCGCACATAACAACAACAACAACAACAACAGCAGCAACAGATCAAAGAGGAGGAAAGTGAGCAGAGCAGAGATGGTGGTGGGAGGGTGAACCTCAGTATCTCTCTCTCTCTCTTTCTCTCTCTCTCTCTCTCTCTCTCACACACACACACACACACACACTTTCCCCAGGTGTGAAATGCCTCTGTTTAGATGCAGGTTTCTTTCCTGTGAGCTCCTCCACATAGGAGCAGCCAGGACCCTCGAGACCTCCAAAGAACACTGGGCTGACACATGCTGAAGAAAAAACAAAGACTCCTCTAGAACCGGTAGAAAGAGAGATAGAATCAGTGCCCTCAGTTTGGACTCCTAACCTCCTATATTTTAGAACTCTGGTGGCCTCACATGATTCAAGGCAACCAGCATATATTTCTGTTTGTTAAAGCCATCTATTTGTGGGATCTAGAACCGGGTAACCAAGGCATTATACATCCTAATTAATTTGCAGTTCTTATAACCATGTCAGGCAATTCCATACTTTTCATGTTTTCCTAAATGTATATATACCTTCCTTTCTTGTGTTCCTAAAAATTCCTACAGACCTTTAGGACCCAGTGTGGATTCATCGCTTGATGGCTGGACTGTGAAGTCTTGCTATTCCAGTTACATCTCTGAAAGCACCATTCTGCACTGCCTGCCTTTTGTTTTAGCATTTCACAGTCAACAAGAGATAATGCGCCCTTAATAAGTTAGGCAAAAAACCCCAAATGCATTTCCTAGCCTTTTAAAACTTACAGCTTGATGAGGAAGGCAGATATTAGCAAGAGATTTTAAATGTTGTTGTTATGTGCCATCGACTCATAGCCACCCTCTGTACAATAGCTCTAAACCCTGCCTTATGCTGAGCCAGTCTCAATGATTCCAATACACCTACCCCTAAGACCCCAGTTACAGTGTTAATCCATCTCATTCAGGGGCTTCCTCTCCTGTGCTGTCTGTCTCTCAGCCTTTTCAAGCATGATGTCCTTCTCCAAGGACTGGCCCCCTAAGAAAATATTGAAAGAGATGAGAGAGAGAACTGTTTAAAAAGGTATATATGATTAGGTATTATTGTCCAGAATGAAGGCTGCCTAGCAGAGTGGACTTGGGGGAGGGATTGTATAACAATGAAAAAAATTTTCTTTTACTTTTCAAAGAGAAGAACAAACTGGAGGGAAGGGGTGGGCAAGAAGAAAAGTGCAATGATGAATGAATGGAAATCCAAAATCTCTGTAAGTTTTCATTAAAATTAGTAATAAAAAATTAAAAAAATTAATAAGGGTGCAAAATGCTGTGAAGAATAAGTCCAGGAATGGGGGCTCTGTCTCTTTATCTTGTTAGCCTCAAATTCTCATTGCTTGTTGTGGTTAGGTGCTGTTGAATTGACTACAATTCATAGCAACCCTATGTTAATTTCACTGTCTCCGACATGCTGACCTCGTTGTCACAGTCACTGTGTCAGTCTATCTCCTCTAGGGTCTTCCTCTCCCACACATTGTTCCTCTACCCTTCCAAGCATGATGTCCTTCTCCAAGGACTGGCCTCTCCTGGCAGCATTCCCAAAACATGTGAGACAGACCTTAAAAATCTTTACCTCCAAGGAGCAATCTGGTTTTCATTCTGTGCAGGATAGACCTGTTTGTACTTGGCATGTTCAAGACTCTTCTCCAGCACCACAACTCAAAGGCATTGATTCTTCTTCTGTCACCCTTACTCATTGTCCAGCTCTCAGATGCATATCAAGTAATTGAGAAGACCATGGCCTGGATCAGGCACACCTCTAGACTGATGTTGCTCTTCAGCACTCTGGAGAGGACCTTGACAGCACATTTTCCCAATGTAACTCATCTTTTGATTTCTAGTGTCAAGAGTGTTGATTGTGGATCTAAGCAAGACAAAATCATTAACAACTTTACTCTTTTCTCCATCTCTCATGACACTGCCTATTGGTTCAGTGGTGAGAATCTTGGCTTTTCTTTGTTTTGTATCAGTGCATATATTTTTAAAATTATATTCATTTTCTCCCCCTCCCCTAGTCCACTTTGAAGAATCTTTGTTGGTTTTTGTTTGTTTGTTTTTGCATTTTTATGTTGAGACACAATCCATAGAGAATGATATAGTCCTTGACCTTCGGCAGCAAACACTTCAAGTCCTCAGTTTCAGCGAGCAAGATTGTGTCATCAGCACAATGCAGGTTGTTCATAAGTCTTCCTCCAATCCTTTCAAATAGTGAAAAAACAAAATCAAAACCATCCAAAACCAATCCCTAACTCATAGCGGAGTCAAATGTTAAAAAGTAGAACCCCTCTTAGAATTTTCTTTACTCTGGAAGCATAGTGGGTTATGTGTTAAGCTGTTAAATGGGAAAGATGAGGCCATTTCATAAAGTTAAGATTTACAAATGCCTTGGAATCCCTGTGGGTTAAAATGGATTTGATAGTGGTGGAATATTTAGGGAAGTGGATTGCCAATTTCTCCTTCCATAGCATCCTTTGGTGAGGTCAAACTGCCAAGCTGTATGTTAATAGCTGAGTGTGAACTATTTGCATCAATCAGGGATCATGGCAAATAGTAAACCAAGAGAACTTTTGAGTCAATTTGGACTCATAGTGACACTGTGGACAGAACATCCTCACAGAGTTACAAAGGCTGCCTGGCTCTTGAGGTGATTCACAGCCTCAGAAACCCTATGGGGCATTTCTTCTCTGTCATTTAGGGTTACTGTAAGTCAGAGTTTACTTAATGGCACTGGGATTATCTTTATGGATGCAGACTGCTACATCTTTCTCCTTCAGAGTTGCTGATAGGTTTGAACTGCCAGCCCTTCGGTTAATAGTCAAGCTCTTAACTGCTGTGCCACCGAGGCTCCTTCTGAGAAAAAGTAAGTGCTGCAGCAAAATCAGGCCATTAAAAAAATTGGTGTCCTAGGCGATGATTCCCCTCCAGTACAGGCAAGCTGATGTGTGAATCCTACCTACACAGAAAGGGTAATCATGGGGACCAGCGGGAGAGCTTTCTGGTGACAACAGGAGGGTTAGGCTCTGACAGCATTCCAGAGTCAAGCAGAGAAAACTCTCATTAATGCCGGCTCAGTCTGGTGGGATTTGTGATATGAAAAAAAGGGAGAAATTTGCTGGGCACACTAATAGTATAAACAAAGATTACAGGGGGGTATTTACACTACTTAAGAGGACAAGCTGCTTCCAAACACGATCAGGCACAGCAGAAACACCCATTGACATTTGTCGTAACTGATCCACTAATTCAAATCATTCTTATCTATTGTCAAAGCAGAGCTCCTAAGGATTGCTGCTTGGCAGCTTTGTGCAATTAGTTCTAATCACGCTATGTATTTGGAAGCAATAAAACAGCAATTTCCTTAAAATCTGTAATTCAGACACTGAGAACAAGGCATTTTAGGGCTTTTGGTGTGGGTGCTGCATGTATTATCTCCGTCAATGTCCTCACTTCACATGTGCAGCAGCTGAGGCTCAGCAGAGGAGAGACTAGCGTGCATTCTGGATGGCTGGGTAGTTTCTTCACTGCACCAGGGCAATAACCGAAGCAGGTACCAAGGGTGGAGGGCTGAAATCCAGCCAGGATGCCTCTGGCTGAGATACACAGCCTGATACAGGACTGTACACATCCAGAACAGTACTTGTCTAATTGTATCAAGTCACCTCATGGTGAGCAGTGCCCTGAATACTCACCTGAGAACAGTCAGTTAGCTGTCTCTGTGTCTCTCTAATTTGCTCATGCCTGCCTTCTGTCTCACCATTTGCCTCTTCTCAGCTGACGTTGGTACTCACTGCTTTTAAATCTGGACTTCCCCAATCCCACTCCTGCACTCCATCCAAATTCCTACTGAAGTAGTGGCTTGAGGGGCCATTTGTACAAGACTAGAGACTGACTGGGGTTACAGACTCACGTGCAAACTCAAATGGAGGCTGAAGAAAATGAAAACAAGTCCATGTGAATCAAAATCTGATCTTTAGTCAATCCCATCTGAATTTAAAAATCATCTTAAGAATAGGTTTGAAACATTGGACAGCAATGATTGATGACCAGATAAGTTGTGGATAAGATCAAGAATATCATCCATGAAGAGAACAAAAGGCCACTACAAAGACACAAGGGAAAGCAAAGATCAAAAAAGGATGTCAGAAGAGATCTTGGAAATTGCATTAGAAAATCGAGAAGCCAGAACAAAGAGAAGAGATGTTGAAGTAAAAGAGCTGAACAAAAGATTCAAAGGGCAGCTTGAGAAGACAAAGCAAAGCATTAT